CATCGTTGGCAAAGTACCTCTTGATGCTTATCTAGAGGTATGTGAGCAAATACCAAAGGCCTGAAAGCAGCCAAAACATCAGGGAGGAGCAGCTTCTGGGGCTGTGGAGATGTCTGTCCAGACCACCCAGAAAGAGACCCTCTTTGTGGAAAGGGCCGAGTGAGCACTCTCTGTTCTTGCAGACTTGGGCGAAGGTGGAGCTTAGATCAGAAGAGAGAACACTTATTCTGTCTTAGTGAGTTCCTAGGTTCCTAGAAACTCTCCATGGAGGATCTCTACAGCTATGAGGGACTCTGAACTGTAACTTGGCCCTCACACTCTTAGAGGAAGACGAGCAAAAGCTTAGAAAGTGGAGTTGCAGATTAATGTTAGTGACTGTTTTCAGAGCTATGAGCTCTCCAGCAAATAGCTTGAGTTATGCTTTATGTATCCAATATAGTGTATTCTATGATAAAATCTTTTACAAATTCATTTTAATAGCTTTCATTTACAATTAAAATTTAGATGGAATTGATATCTTGGTGAAAGTAGGTTTTTAAAAGATAAGACTCTAGAATATTTCTCTTTGAATATAATTTAACGTTAAGTATAAGAAAAAAAACCCCAGCCTTAAAAAATACCTTTTAACTAAATGCTACTTTTTATATTCATGTACCTGAAATGATTCCAATACAGTCCATACACCTGTAGTCTGTCTAGTGTGGCAGCAGATTATTGAAGCTAGTTTAGAAGTAGGAGGGTGTTCATAAGATTATCTACCACCCCTGTATTATAAAGTCTGGGCACTTAATTATTTGGAATATTTGCTGTATATGTGTAATGATAAGCAAGTCCTATGGAGCCAATTATTGCCTCCACTTAAGTTTTCCTCAATCTCATGAAGAAGATCATCAACCTGATTCTTAGCAAGTGTGACAATTTTGAGGTAGTTACAATGAACATAGTAAATTTCCTAATTTGAAAGTGCTTCCTTGTGATAAAAGGACAATGGTTAAGAAATGTGACTTCAAGGGCGCCTGGGTGGCTCAGTTGGTTAAGCGACTGCCTTCGGCTCAGGTCATGATCCTGGAGTCCCAGGATCGAGTCCCGCATCGGGCTCCCTGCTCGGCAGGGAGCCTGCTTCTCCCTCTGACCCTCCCCCCTCTCATGTGCTCTCTGTCTCTCTCATTCTCTCTGTCTCAAATAAATAAATAAAATCTTAAAAAAAAAAAAAAGAAATGTGACTTCAAGAAAGACTCCTCATAAAAGCAACTTAGAATATGAGTATATTTTAACTAAAATCTTTACTGATCAAAATGATAAGAAAGATTTCCTAAGTATCTTCCTGTGTGGCATACACTCTAATTAGAAAAATAAGTCATGCATATTTTGATAAGAAGGCAAAAGAATTACATTTATTGATCACCTGTTATATTCTAGGCTATAGTAGTACAAGTGTATAATTTAATCTTGCAGAGGTCTTAGGAGGTAGTTGTTAAAAATCTGAATTTATAGGGGAGGAAACTGAGATCAAATAGGTCACAGAGCCAGTGAACTGCAATCCTGGGATTTGAAGCTGAGTCCATCTAACTTCAAAACCGGTTCTCTGAAAAAATCCTATACATGGCAGTATATAACTATGTAGAATGTACTATCACATCACATATCCAGCATCACCAAAGAACAGGATGTTCTATACAATATGAGGTATTCAGTACAGTTGAATCCTACTACCAGTGCCAATTTGTTTGACATTTGAATCTGACTTCAAGTGGGAAACCAGAAGTTTATGTTTGTGAAAATTGTCTATTAATATTATTCTGAGTGAGAACTTAATATAGATTCAGTAAATTTTATTTACTGCTATTTCTACCTTAGTCCTGGATAGTTGATGTTGCTGGGTAAGTTTCAAATTACTATAGAGTTGTTGAGGAAATTAAAAAAAAAAAAGAGGAAATGGTTTTCTACGAGTAGAACTAGTTTGATGATTCATAGAGACTGCTCAAACTTTGAGCTGGTTCCTATTTTTAGGAGTGAAGAGGAGAGATTTTCAAATCCTTTACCAGTCCAATAAATATTTTGTTTACAAAATACCTGAAATTGCAAATGTGCAGGTAGTAGGGAGGGCAAACAAAAACACTGAAACAAAATGGGAAAGAGCATGGAAAATGTAATGCTCATCCTTGATCCATCATGTATCTCCATTGCTTCTGATTTTATTCTCCCAAAAATCGTCTTCTGAGGTTTTTAGCAACAAACATCACAAACACTCATAAAGCTGTGCAGCTCTGTTAAAGCCAGGCCTAGTGCTTGGTTCAGTGGCCTTTCAAAGCAAAATTCTAGACACTGTCAACACATACTAGGTAAAGCAGTATTTCCTTTCACCCATTCTAAATTTACCTCCTGTTAATTTCATTGCACCTCTCTTCCCCATTGTCAAGCAAAAAAAGAACATCCATATTTCATAAAAATAATTTAGGCCCTTTAAATCAATACAGTCTAGATTTTTCTCTTTTCTTTGCCAGGGTATCTTGGAGTTTAATGATCTCTTTTAGTAATTACTCTTCTCTGGTATCAGCTGACTGTTGGGCCAGTTACTACCTGTATCACAATTGACACACCACTATTCCAGGGAGCACAGCAAATGTAACATGAAGACTATGAGACTAACTGACATCATGAAGTTCTTAAAGAAAGGGCTAATGTGTGTTTATCTCCACATGTGTATATCCACAGTGTCAAACACCACATCTCCCTTGTGGTAGGGCAAGGTGGGGAGCTGAAATTTAATACATATCTACGTAAGTCTGACCCCACCTATATGCCATTGGACATGTCTCTACAATGATCGTATATCAATATACTCATTTCTGTTGATCAGGAAATTGAATGAGTTGCCTAAGGTCAAGAGCCTAGTAAATAGCAGAACTGAGATTTGAATTCATGTCTGTCAGACTTTTTATTTCACCATGTGATTTCCCAACCACACGTGGTACCCAGTAATATTTGTGGAATTTGCATGGGGTTATCACCTCTCTAGTCCATCTAGCCACAAGAGGGAAAAGCCTGCAGCCCAGTAAAGTTGTAATCCACAATGACCTAAAGGCCAACTGGAATGCCACACGGCATGGTCAATCACTTAGTGTATAATTAATATACAATGAAGAGGCAAAAATTAAGGGACATACAGAACCAGACATTATTAATAGTAATGAATCTGTGAGGGCTGAGTCTCTACTTTCATTTTCATTATCACTGTAGAAAAATAGTAAATAAAGGCGGGGGTAGGATGGCAGTATAAATGGCAGAAAGAGGAGAATTAGGGGAGATAATCTGTGGATTTGTTTACTACTAAAGTGCCCTTCAAAGGCAGCTTTTCCTGATTGGCATTTTTAACATTTACCCTTATTATAACATTACCCTTTCATTACAGTCATATTTATATTTTTTATAATTCTGTGGTATTATCTGTTTAAAGAATTTTAGAGCATTAATGCTCAATATCACCTAAGTCTTCCAGTAGAGAAGCTCTATGTCCCTGCCTGAACATTCTCAGTGTCAGGGAATTTTCTATTGACGAAAAAAATATAAAAGCTTACCTTTGTATCAGTTAAAAATGTGCATTCCTACACTTTCTTGAAATTATTCTGTAAGCATGTCTGGAAGAACTATGTAGCAACATACATTCCTAGGCTAGTTCTCTGAATACTAGAAAAATCCTCAATGTTTATCAGCATTTCTGTATGAGAGACCTGGCTATACATGTTATCACAGAGCTAATGTCTTATTTGTGTCATTAGACATATGCACACAATTTTGGTACTTTTTTGGATAATTTTTCAGTTTTAAAAATCTAAAATAAATATGCATTTCAGAAAAAAATTATGTAACCTTTTAAACAATTATCATTTAATTAAAATGGGGTCCAGTCATATTAGAGTAATTCCTTACCTGTCCCAGTATAGGAGAAATGAGTGAGGTGTTCATTTAGGCCTGAATATCCCCTTCAGTGACTGCAACCCCAGATTTCCATGTCACTTCTTATCCACCCAGGCCCAGTGCATCATAAGAGAGCCATTTTCTAACTTTTCCGTGCTTAAGAGTCACATGGGGTGCTGTATAAAAAGCCCCGGTGACTAGTCAAAGGGCCACAAAATCCCATAGCTGTGATATATTTAGACTTCTCTCTCACAGACCTTAATCTTATCATCTCTACAAAACCATCAACTATCACTACTAACTTAAACATGAGTTCTTCAGAGAGCTTAGCAATCACTTGTTTTAACTCCAAATTGTATAGATCTATGTAATAATCTATGGTTATACCACTACTTAGTGGCTGGGTAGAAATGTAGACAGATCTTTTGATTCTTTCCAGAATAGTAGTTTCTCTAGCATGCACTGGACTGTTATTTTTAGGTTTAGCTATCTGGTATTTGACATCACCCATTAGTATGAAGCAAAAAGTCTTCAAAGAAAGTTGCAAATGGAATTCCACTCTGAGCTTTAATTATAGAGAAAAAAATAATACTTCATAAGGGTAATATATTAAATAGTGATTGCAAAATCAACTATTTGTGAGACACTCTGCTAGGCATTCTGAGATACATGAAGATGAGTAACACATAGTTCTTGCCATACTGGAGCTTATAACCTGGGGGTAAGTTGTTAATCACTCTGGCCAGGATGATAGGGACATTTCACTGAATGGGAAATCGTAGTGTATCAGGTCATAATATTCCACAACACACTGAAGTGCTTCATACTTAGCTCTACAAAAGTTGAAACTCCATTAATGCTAACTGGCATAGCACGTGGGGAAAAAAATCTCTCAATGTGCTGAATTGATGTACTTAAAATTGATATTTAGAGGTCATGGTTGTTTGATATGAGTGGAAGGAAATAATTTATAGCTGCTGTTATTATGATAAAAACATGAAATTATCTAAAGCCTCCTATAATTTTCTAGCTAGTTCTTGAGCACATTTATTAATTACAACATAAAAGAAAGGTTTCCTTACTTGTGATCTCACCATTCATTTCTTTAAGTTCACTGTTAATTCCAACATCTATGGAATTCATTATTTTGTCAATCTGTGAGAAACAAAAGCCATATAAATAAATTATTAATTCACTTTTAGCATTGCATTTTAATATAATTTTCAAATGCCAGCATCCTATATTCTTGATATTACTACTGCAATATCACAATTAAGAGACTGAGAAAGGTTTAAAAGGAAGCAGACATCTTTTGAATTGCTTTTTAAAATATGAATTATGTTTCCCTTTCTTAAATATTCAAAATCAGATCTTCTCTTTATATTTCTTAAAATGAACTTTGTTTGGACCTACATGGGTCAGTAAGTTAGGAATTGTGTATTCTTTAAACTCAGAAAGGGATGGGCTGAGGATAAATTCATGTGAACATGTCCATTCTCAGGCATTCTTCCCGTTCTCAGAGCATGCATCTCTCTGACTGGGGAAGGGGTGGGTTTCAGTCTGTGGGTGTGGCCATTGGAACCTAGTTCTTACTAAATGGCTTGACTAGCCACAAGCTGATTTGTGACACATAATCGCAAGAATCCAGGCATGGGGAAACACCTTAATTCTAAGAGATAGGCTAAATGTTAATTAATCCTGCTGCATTCCAAAAAGATTTTGGATGTTATTCACAGAGTTAATAAATATAAGAAATGGAGAGATTTGAATAGACTATCAATCTAGTAGTACAGTATTTATAGGAAGATATGACTATCTAAGCTTTAGCCATTTATGGTTTAATCCCCTCATCATCATCCTAGCAACCTGAGTAAGACAGCAGGTTTCAGAGAGGACAATAAGCATTACTTAAATGTCCCATTTTGCTCACCCTGAAACAGATGCAGAGAGATTAAGTGATTTTCCCAAATAGCTCAATTCAGAATGTCAGTATCAGACATTTCTAGTTCTCAGAATACTATAGTGACCTATTGTGCTTCAAAACCCAATCCACCTGGCACAGTTTTCTGAGGGAGAAAATGTGACGTGTTAGAATGAAATGCTAAGGGAGAGTGCGGTCCGTTTTTTGAAGAAATTCAAGAAAAGGCAAGGAACTTAGTTATTTTATGACGTAGTCCTCCTTAGGGACCAAGGATGATATTTCATAACCTTGCAATGGCACTTACTTTCTAACTAATTCTATAAAATGAAAGACTTTGTCTTTAAGTAGAGCTTAAATTGGTGATACATGACGTCAACATATTTTTCTTTAATGTCTCTCTGATAATTGTAAAAGGGAAATATTAAGTAATTTGGGTTTATTGTATGGCACTTGGAGAAGATCCAGGACTATTCTCTTTCTTTCCTTCTTCCTTCCTTCCTTCCTTCCTTCCTTCCTTCCTTCCTTTCCTTCCTTCCTTCCTTTCCTTCCTTCCTTCCTTCCTTCCTATCCTTCCTTCCTTCTTTCCTTCCTTCCTTCCTTCCTTCCTTCCTTCCTTCCTTCCTTCCTTCCTCCCTCCCTTCCTTCCTTCCTTCCTTCTTTTTTTTTTTTTAGAGAGAGAGAGCATGAGTGGTGGGTGAGGGGCAGAGAGAGAAAATCTTAAGCAGGCTCCATGCCCAGTGCAGAGCATGACATGGGGCACAATCTCACAACCCTGAGATCATGACCTGAGCCAAAATCAAGAGTTGGACATTTAAACAATTGAGCCACCTAGGCAACCCAAGCCAGGACTATTCTGTTTACCATTAAGGTTAAGATTATAAGGAGCTTTTCTGAAAATATAAGATACTTTAAAGGGGGGACGAGCCAACAAAGAATTTAGCAACTAGCAGAATGATACAGAGCTGCAGGAATACAAAGATTTTTTCTCAATTTGTCAGCTGCAGTGCTTGGTAGGACATAATGTGAACATTCTCTTGTACCTCATAGCTAGTTATTACTTCTGCTTGATATCATTTCTATGGAAACAATAGATTTCTCCACATGTGTGGAATTGTGTTTGTTTTTACACTAGCTGCGAAATTATCATGTATTACCCCTAGAATCTTGCCCTTCCACTTGGAACTGTATGTGTCTGTTAATTTTTTTGGTTTTTGTTTTTGTTTTTTGCCTCTGAAAGACTCAAAAAACTGAAAACTCTTCCCCCAAACTTCCCTTGCTCCAAAGTCTTATATAAAGAACAAGAAGAACAAGTCTTACTTCTTCCCATTCAGAAGTGAAGGACGGTGTTCTTTCAGAATTCCCTTTAGAACTATGTTCGGCAGTTGAAGATTCACTCCAGTTAACTCTTGATGTTTTCTCATTTGAAGGGTATGCAATGAGATCAGAATCTGATTTAGAGACATTTTTTGATAAATGCATGTCAATCAGGGCTTTTGGCAATGACCTTATTCTCCCCAAGGTACAGGCTCTCTCCACAAATCCTCCTGTGTTCATAATCCACTGGTCCCCATTCCGGGATCCACTTCTAGTTGTTCTTGTGCCAACAATGGTATGGTTTTCAAGTTGGTTGCTTTTTTTGTGAAAAATTGTTCGACTGACCACTTTGGGTTTAATTTTCTTTACCGAAGTTTCTGAGTTATTTGCTATTGGAGACTTCCTGAAAGGCAAAGGACTATTTGCCAAACTGACTTCATCTTTTCCTTCTTCACATTCATCTCTTTTCCCATAGAGATGAAATGGATTTTCAGGGGACTCACAGGCTGGAGAAGATCCATGGAGAAGGCCTGCAAATTGCCCAGGATCATATTCTTTTGGAGGATCGCTGTCCTCCTGCTGAGAAGGGCCATCTGCAAAAGAGAGGAAGAACATCAGGATGGTTGTTTATAAGGACTCCAAAAGATGATACAATAGCACTGCCTTTTCAAACTTGTGCAATACCCAGACATTTTATTTGTTGGTACAATGATATCCTCACTTTATGAAACACTCATGACCCTATAGTACCATGTATAAAATGAATTTGTGTGTGTGTGTGTGTGTGTGTGTGTGTGTATGAACCACATCTTCCTGACATACCTTAGGGTGCATTTCAAAGATATGAATTGAGTACTAATTGAGTAATTTTATATTGTTCTTCCTTGTCCCCAGAGCATATACTTTATATTGAATAACAAAACTGAGTTTTCTTAAAGTGAAACACCCATGTCCAAACCTTCACAATAAATGAATCATTGTGCAGAAGGACATCAGGCAGGTAAATCAAGATCATACATAATGACATCCCTTTGCCCTTCTCCCAGAAAATAAATTCAGAAACAAAATCTTTGAAAGAAGTATAATTAGAAGTAATTTAAGGTTTAAATTAAGAAGTAATTTAATAATACTGAGAATATTACTTTAAATATAAAATATAGGGGCGCCTGGGTGGCTCGGTTGGTTAGGCGGCTGCCTTCGGCTCAGGTCATGATCCTGGAGCCCCGGGATCGAGTCCCGCTTTGGGCTCCCTGCTTGGCAGGGAGTCTGCCTCTCTCTCTGACCCTCCCCCCTCCCATGCTCTCTATCTCATTTTCTCTCTCAAATAAATAAATAAAATCTTAAAAATATATATATATATACTCTGAGGGGTAGACGAACCATGAGAGACGATGGACTCTGAAAAACAAACAGGGTTCTAGAGGGGAGGGGGGTGGGAGGATGGGTTAGCCTGGTGGTGGGTATTGAGGAGGGCACATTCTGCATGGAGCACTGGGTGTTATGCACAAACAATGAATCATGGAACACTTCATCTAAAATTAATGATGTAATGTATGGGGATTAACATAAGAATAAAAAAATATATATATATAAAATATAAAATTAAGAATAATTCTATAAGTTATATACTTTAGACAAAAAGGATTTGTTCAGGCTTAACATAGGCAAACAATGCAAACCATAATATCACTAAAAAGTGAGACTCTTTTACAAGAAACTGATGTTGAGCTATTAACACAAATCTATATTTTTCTTTCTTTTTTTTAAAGATTATTTATTTATTTATTTGACAGAGAGAGAGAGAGACAGTGAGAGAGGGAACACAAGCAGGGGGAGTGGGAGAGGGAGAAGCAGGCCCTCCACTGAGCAGGGAGCCGGATGCGGGGCTCCATCCCAGCACTCTGGGATCATGAACTGAGCTGAAGGCAGACGCTTAATGACTGAGCCATCCAGGCGCCCCTATCTTTTTCTTTCTTCTCTGAAATAGCATTAGTTATTTTTAATTTCTTCAGATCTTTGAAAGTGTAATGCAGAAAAGAAAAAAGAAATATTTACTGCTTTGTAATTTTTTCTAGATAAAACACAAATGTTTTAAGATAAAACATAAATGTTCTCTGGGACTTAAAATATACCATGCATTTTTATGACCTAATTTGTCTTTTAAATATATACTGTAAAACCCTGGCCAAAGAACTTAGCAATGGAAGTCAGTATATTTTTTTGATTGGTCATTTTAGTTCATATAGCTGAATATTTGCCACAATCAAAAGTTAAATTACCTGATAAGCTCATAACCCAATCTTGTGAAAGAGTCAAAAATAGCCAATGTGGTGGATAATAACAAATCCAAAGTTGACTTGCTGACTTGCATTTTAAGTACATTAGTTATTACTATAAACTCCAAACACCAAAGTTTTCATAAATTAACAGGTATGTGCTATTTAATAGGCACTGAATTAGGAGTTATATTTACATTTGATCTGCATAACAGTCCTGTGAAATGAATGATTAATAATAATTATGATTATCTGATAGAGATATAGCCAGAATACTGCATTCACATATTTAAACAAATTGGCAACCATAATAAGTCTCAATAGGTATTTGCCCAGAGGATGCTACAGACAAACCAACTTTCTTTATTACAGTTTGGTCCCAAGTCCCTACACGTTCTCTCCCTAGTTGCTGATTGAGGCAGGTTTGTTCCTGACCTTGCATATCCCCATACCTAACCCTGGTTCCTGTTTGGCTTTCCAAGTAGAAGGTGTCCCCCTGCTCTAACCTTGTCACAATGATATCCTGAGATGGAAGAGAGAAGAGTGCTAGGAAGAGAGGTCCAAAAGACAACAATTTAAAGGAGGAGCACTCTGTGCCCACCCAGTACTATAATAATCTCTCTGTCTTCCCACAAAAACTGCATCCCTTTCCAATGTAGCAAAAGTATGTCCTTGATAATAACTCCTTTAGTCCTTCCCTCAAGACAGAGACCCTTCCTGGGGTAGAATAGTGAGTGGAGAGTGAGTGAAGACAGCTCCGAACTCTCTTGAAAGCTAGCGTTTATGGCCTATTATATCCATTTTTTGGAAGTAAAAATGAACACTTAAACAAGTTACTGAAGTTTCCCTAGCTAGTAAAAGGTTAAGCTGAGATTCAAACTAAGATCTATCAGATTCCCATATCCACTGGCCTGGAAAATATATTACTATTTAGATAAAAGAACAATCTAGGGTTCAAAGGCAAGCAAGTAGACTCTTTGTGGGAGGAGATGTACTTCTCCTGTTTATGATTATTCCTGGAATTTGGGATAAGTGAACTAAAAAAGTTTTTTTTCATTCTCATGGAAGCAAGATAATACCAAAAGGAAATAAAACCTGGCATTCTGTTCCAATGTATTTTCTCCTTTTTGTTCCTATGCTACTTGGGTCCATAGTGCTTTACAATGTAACAGGTTGGTATGGATGACAGTAATGGGTAAGTAATGTAAAAGGAAGGAGGAATTCAGAAATAAGGAAGTTTAGAATTTTATTTTGAAAGTTGCTAAAGAAGGCCAAGTGTTTGATTATGAAAAGAAAATTGACAATAATCAGCCTATTGTGGGAAAAAGATTCTGTAAATCTCAGTCAAGAGGTTTTTGACCATAATCATGATAAATGAGAGTTTTAGGGGCATAATTTTATCTAAAGTTTTCTGTGAATATTATTATTAGGTTATCATCCCCTCTGTGGTTTTACCAAAATGACTATAATCACCTCAAAATGCTTTATATTGTCCAAGTCCTCTAGTGATAAGCAATCACTTCCCTAAGTAAAAGGAAATTTAGGTATTGGCATATAAGCGTTGTCTTTTGAATAATAGTTCTTAGCATCATGATAGTTGGTAACATTTTTGTTAAGAGTTGTCAAAAGGCAACTACTACTTGCTTATTTCAATGGCCAAACTCTAAAGATTACTCAAATCAAAGAGAATAAGAAGTCGATATAAAAGCTCCTGAAATGCTAATTTGGTGGATTGATGGCAGGTATGGCCCCACTATGCAACAGCTCCCTGTAGCCACACCCTACTCTGGATCCATTCCTCCCACGTGACTCTGGGCATGACCGTGTGCCTTGCTTTGGCCAATGGGGCAAGAGCCAACACAACAGAAGCAGAGACTTGAAAGGCACTTGTGCACTGGGGCTTGCTCTCTGGCTGCTCTTGCAAGCTTGCTGCCAGGTGAACAAGCCCAGACTCGCCTGAGAGATGATGAAATACATTACCCAGCTGTTTGAAATTATAGGCTTTATTGTTTTTCAAGTATGATGAGGCTAACAGATCAGGAGACAATTGCCATCGAAAAGATAAACTGTTATAGATTCCAAGAGGAGGGAGGATGCCATGCCCTGGGTGGGGGACATGGGGAAACACCAAAGTTAGTTAGGAGGCAGAATGAGTGAGGGAAAAGGTGGGCCAGAGCCTTTATTGTGATTTCTCTGTGAAGGAATGGGTGAAACAGGATAATCAGGTTTAGGGTTGGCTAGTTTGAATCATTTCAGCAGCTTCTGGAGCATAGGGATTATCCCTAGTTGTTTGATACCTGGCCCTGGTGTGATTAGGCCAGGTGAAAAGTGGCCCAGAGTGTGGTTGGGGTATGGCTCTGGATTGGTTGATTTGCATATGAAAGGCATGTTTACTATCGCTAAGATTTAGCTAGCCCTGGGAGGGGCAGTTCCTCCAGGGTCAAAAAGGTCCCAAGATGTTAAAGAATGAACAAAACAAAACAAAACAAACCTAAAGTAAAAAGGCATGGTTGATAGCCCAGCCATCTCTGTCACCTTAGACAATAGTCAGCCAACTTTCTGACAATTGAGTGAGGTCATCCATGACCTACCAATCCCAGGCCAATATGCCAGCTGACCACCCATGAATGAAAAAACCTAGCCAAGATTAGCTGAGGCTGGCCCAGACCAGAAGAAAACACCAGAATCATGAGCTATATAAATGGCTATTATTTTAAGCCATTAAGTTTTGGAGTGGTTGATATACCATGATAGATAAATGGTTCAGCCTGTACCCCAGTTTTCAAAGAAGAATTAATACATTGTTCAAAATACATTCTGGCAATGTTTATATTTTCACTTCTGCAAACAAAGATATAGTATACACCTATAAGTGTTGTGAAGACTTAATAAAATAATAGAAGTAAAGCAGAACAATGCCAGTGGCACAGAACACATTAAATATGTTTCTGCTATTACAACAATTTTTAATTTAAAAGGATTTCATTTTTACAAATGTATTGTATTAGATATTCAATAGTGATTGTATTAGATATTCAATAAAGACTGTTATTTTGACACAGGAAATACATGGAATTTACTCCTTTGTTTCTGCTTATATATTTTTAAAATATACTTTGGAAAGAATTTTTGCACTTTCTTACTATTTTTTTATATGTAGCTGAGGTAAAGTATATAGATTAAACTGTTTTCACAATTTGTCTCATTTAATTTCACACTTCTCTTTTGATAAGTGGATGTTTCATGCCAAGGTACAGAACTAAATATGTGTGAATTCCAATCTGATAGTTACTCAAAGCATCATTAGCATTTCAAAG